GAAGTCCTCAACTCCCTAAACCCAAAGCCCCAAAACGACCCAAGAAGCCCTGATGCATGCCCAAAGAGCCCAATGCCGCTTAATTAAGGAATATAGGTTAAATCATAATATGAAGCCCCATTATAATTTGAGGTATATTGCTTAATTAAGGGGTATTGGGCTCTCTGGGTGCAAGGATATCTTACAACGCGGTCATGGATGGCTTGTCCAAAGCAGGGGATGAGGCGGCGAGCTTGAGTGAGGTACTGAATTATGGAAGCCTGAAGAGAGTATCGTTTTTCTTTAGGGTTCCTTAACATAATACAACTTTCTTTAGGGTTCCTTAAAAAATCTAACTTTGACCATACTTTACTGTACTATTGCCCCAAAGCCCTATTCTAAGTGTTGAGGCCCCCATAGTAGCCCTCTTTGTCACTAGTGTCCCTGCGGATGTCTTCAGAGAGACCCCATGCTCCAGCTGGCATAAGTTCTCAGAGAGCCCAATACCCCTTAACTTTGTCAAAGTTGGGTAACATTTTACATTTTCACGGGTACTTGAACCCAATAAACTTTTAATCCTATCCCAATCATGAACTAGTTAACTTAGCAATATATATCATAAACGATAAGGAGCTTCATATTATGGTGCACGCTACATTCCCTAATTGAGGGGTCTTGGGCTCTCTGGGTTAGTCTATCGGAGATGCCAGGTTCGCGGTTTCAGACCTTTGGGTTTTAGGGTTTGGGTTTAGGGTTTGGGGTCTAGGGGTCTCAGTTCTAGGGTTTGATGTTTTGGGGTCTAGGGGTTCAGGGTCCGAAGTCTGGGGTCCAGGGTAGATAGGGCATCTGGGATCGCAAACTTTGGCGGTCAAAACCTGAAGGGGTTCCGAGCCAAGTCCAGCTGTCCCCTCGATAGAGTTCGCGAAGCTTTTGGGATTAAAGCCTGGCTTTAAAACTATGTCTACGTTTGAGTGCAACATCAACTGGCGTGTGGAGTTTTCATTGTTCGCATGTTTTTCATTCTTCGTCCACGAGCTTGAGATCTCCAGACCTTCAGCAACTTATGTGGGGACGTTAAAGAACTAGAAGAGGGTGTTACCCATAGCCCCGTACTGTAGTAGTTCCTTCTTGAGATATACCTTATAGGTTTCTAAGTATGAGCATGGGGCCTATGGATATTAAGGCTCCTATACTATACTATAGACCCCTACTATAGATCCCTTATAGACCCCTTTAAGGAGCCCTTTAAAGGAACCCCAAAAAGGAACTACTACTTGAAAGGGTCGGGGGTCTTAGTAAGTAGGTAGCAAGTAGACTTATAAGTACCCTAAAAGGGACCCTAATTGGGGTTATGGTACTTATAAGTCCCTAAAATAACCAGTTACTAAGTCCCCCGACCCTCCAAGTAAACCCTAAACCCTATACCCTTATAGAATCCCTACAGGTCCCTTTAAAGGAACCCTAAAAAGGAACCCTTTGAAATTACTAAGTCCCCAAAAGACCTATAGATCCCTTATAGTAGCCCCTATAGACCCCTTTAAAAGTAGCCCTTTAAAGGGAACCCTAGGGCCCTTTAAAGGAACCCCTAAGAAAGAACTACTATGGGGCCTTCTAGATCCCTTATAGTAGCCCCTATAGACCCCTTAAAGGAACCCTGAAAGGAACCCCTTAGAAACCCCTAGTAACTTACTACTTGGAGGGTCGAGGGAATTAGTAAGTAGGTAGTAAGTAGACTTATAAGCACCCTAAAAGGGACCCTAATTGGGGTTATGGGACTTATAAATCCCGAAAATAACCAGTTACTAAGTCCCCCGACCCTCCAAGTATGGGGCCCATGGCTAGACTGTAAACCCGGAGAGGCTGGCGTCCTAGACTGGAAGCGGCGGATGCATCGCGACCAGGCCTGCCACTGCATGTTGAACCACAGGCCCTGGGTTATCTATATATTTATACATATATATGTATGTGTATATTATATATATATATATATGTATACTATAGAGGTATATATGTCATGATAACCGCTAATCTTGCAGCTAAGCCCCAACCCTAAATCCTGAACCCCTAACTTAACCCCTAAACCCTGATATAAACCCTCAGAACCTACACCGTCGGAGCCCTTACTTAAGCCGAAAGCGGCCAGTCAAAGCATGCACTTAAAGCCTTAGATAGTGAACGGGGAAACTTTAAACTTTTTGGCCTTATATATTACGTGTATCTTAGAGAGTTTGAACTGGTTTGGGCCCGGTTGTTGAAGAAGAGAGAAGCCCCTGCAGCACCAACCCTGCCCCGCAAAAAATAAAATCAGGCGATCGCGAGTTTGGAGTGCTACCTTTGAGAGTTAAGTTTACAGCCCATAGATGTAGGGGCCTAAATAGTTACCTAGACTATTTTGGGGGGCTCCTTCTTATACGTATTACAACGGGCCCCAAAATCTTGCTCGAATTATGAAGGCCCCTAGATTACACTTGGGCATTTGAGAATTTCGGGCCTGTGGTCTCAATTGCGCAGGGCTTCTGCGATTGTGGAGGCAGTCCGAGAAATGCCAGCAGGATATATCGGTGCCCTCGTCATGTACCCTAAACTCCATGCCCGCCAGGGATCCCAAGACAGACCTCGCAAAGACACAGCGAACATCCCACAACAGCGTGCACCTCCCACCCCCAACGCAAAACCCTACACCTTTATATAAACCTTAGACTGTATAAACTATAAAACCCGAACCCCTAAACTTCTAAATCCCAAAAAACCCTAAATCTGTAACCCCTCAACCCCTCAACCCTGAACCGACCCCCCATAGCCTCTCGACTCCAAAGTAGCCCTGACCCGACAGAAGCCCGAACTCCGAAGAGATCGGATGCTTGAGGTGCTGCCGACAGTGCCGGCCACTAAGACACCCCGTTTTGGGGAGAGCAAGCTAGGAGCGGTTTAGGGTTCAGGGTTTAGAGGAGCTCCGTTGCAGGCTTGTTTTATGGCTTCGGGATTTTTAGGGTGAGGGGTTGGTTTAGGGGTAGGGTTGAAGATCGTTTTCATGTTTCTTCATATTTGGGGGGTCGGTCAATACGTTGTGCGACTCAGAGTAGACAGTAGGATCTTGGGGGCCTCCGAAACCCTAAACCCTACTCCCCAAGACTTCCGGCTATTAGCATGCAGTGCTAAACCCTGAAAGTTACCGTTTTTGTTGGGCGATGTGTTCCTTGGAGGTTTAGGGGTTTAGGGTTTAGGGTTTATAAGTGGGCTTATAAGTCCCCCAACATGAGGTATAAGTACACTTACCCTACTTATAACCCCACTTCTAACTAATTCACCTCCAAGCAGGCTTACTTGGAGAATAGGGTGTCGAGTTTACGGTTCTGTTCTAGTGCAAACACCGATGTCAAAGTATAACGCAGGGGATGAGACCCCTGTGACAAGGCCGATATGATTGTAATATCCTTAAGGGAGGGGGGTCCAAGGGGGGTATATAGCCTAGTGATCCCTAATTCTCCCTAGTACTCCCTAAGGTTCCCTTACAGTCCCCTAAGGATTCCTTATACCCTCCCCCCTTGAACCACCCTCCCTTAAGGATCCTATAATATGAGCGGCTGCAAGTCTCAAAGTCCAAACAGACTTTAGGGTTTAGGGTTTAGGGTTTAGGAAACTGGCTGTAACAAACCTAAACCCTCGAATTCGGCGAAGATACGCCTTTGAACCCGCCTGCCCATTGCTCCGAAACCCCTAGATCCTAAACCCTAAACTTAACTCTCCGAACCCCCGTTGATCCTAAACCCTATACTCTCCGAACCCCCGTTGATCCAAAACCCTAAACTCTCCGAAACCCCTTGATCCTAGACGCTAAACTCTCCGAAAACCCCCCTTGAATCTGTCTCAGGCTGACCTATGCCTCATTGATCACAACGGCTGCTCTTTGCAGCCCTGAGCCCGGTCTTCTGCTTCCCTGGCACGCTGCAGCTGACATCAATTGTAGTCTCCTTCGGATAAATTTTGTATTTTTGTTCATATGAAACCCAAGAGAATATTAAACAAACTATTATTTTTTATTATGGTTCTAAGGGGGTATTGACAATAGTAGCAGCATTAATAAGAATTAGTCATGAATGAGAGTATCAAAATGAAAATGATAACAGCAACTGTCGTTAATAAAGACGATAATCGTTCTCGAAGGTTGCACGTCTCAGTTTCTAGGACTCTTGGACCGTGATGTTGGTTCGAGGATTTAGGATTCAGGGTTTAGGGAGATCATGGCAGCGCTTGTAAGATTCCTGGTGTAAGTAGCACTTTGATTTGGGTCTCAAGTTCTCTTCAGCGCCTGTTTTCCAAGCCAAATGCTGTGCCCTCGGCCCGGCAAGCCTCACCTTGTGACGTACAGTGTAGGCTGCCCTTTGACAGCTCAGCCGTGAGATTCCAGCAGCCAACCTACAAACAAGTCAGTTATACCCTGCTCCCTAAACCTAAAAACCCCCTAAACCCTAAACCCTAAATCCTAAACCCTAAACCCCTAAACTCTCAAACCCTGAAGTCCCCAGCCCTGGACCCTCAAACCCTAAATCCTTAAAGCCTAAACACCTGGACGTGAAGTGTCAGACTAGGGTTGGCGAGCATGGAGGGTACGAAGGATGATATTTTACGATGAGGGTTTAGGGCTTAGGGTTTAGGGGTTTAGGAGTTTAGGGCTTAGGGTTTACGGGTTTAGGGGGTAGGGGTTTACGAGGGTTTAGGGGTTTACGGGTTTAGGGTTTCGGCTAAAAGCCTTCTCTCAGGCCCGAGGCACTGAAATCTGAACTCACAGGGCAAGTGTGCCGATATCAGGAAGTTGAATCCCGAAGCGTTTCGGCTTCAAGTGCAGTCGGTGGTGGCTTTAGGGTTATAAGCTTCAGGGCTCGACGCTTCGCGGCTTAGTCTCAATTTACGCTTTAAAGGCTTGAGTGAGATGCAGTTTCTCATCATGATCACATCAAGTTTCAGAGCCGCGTGCAGCATCGCTTGATTCCTAGCCGAAAAGTTTCACGTTTCACCATCCAATGGTGCGGAATTCGAGCGCTCCGGCTGCAGCTGCAAATGAGCGGACTTCAAGCACTCCAGATGCGGCTCGACTCAGACTCAAACTAATCTAGGGCCTGAATACATACCAATACTATTTTGAGGGTTTCACTGATTATTCAGGCCCGTATGTTAGACTGGAAAGTAGTCTTGCTTCGTTTGTCTATGTGATTATAGTGTAAAGGCATCATGTGTATTGTTTGTAACTCTATGCCAGGTGATCGTCGACTTACAACCCATCAGTCTGGAGTGGATCCCCATCGCGCAATGGGATCTCCCAGGTTCCGTTGCCAACAGGTCGCGGCCAACCACGCCACCTCGTTTGCGTTTCGCCCGCATTGTTCGTGAAGAGGCAAGCCAGACGCCACCACGAACACCGGAGGCAGCAGCAACACCACGGGAAGTTCCTCCAGCAGTACCTCAAGCAGACGTGGGCGACACACACACTGGTCTCGAGCTGCAGGAGCTGGTGGCGAACATACTGCAAGCAGCAAAGCCGCGTGTGAATGCAGCGAACCCGTGGTGGTGCCGAGTTTTGGACGTGAGCCGCAGGACTGTCTCTGTGCAGGTCTTGGAAAAAAAGAGGCGAGCTTTGGCGTTGAAGCTTCATCCGGACAAGGTCCCGGCAAACGCCGCTGACCAGGATCTTGTCCGAAAAGCTTACCACACCGTGGACGAGGCCTACAACAAAGGCAAGCTATATTTGCAGACGAGGCCGACAGAGGATGCCCCGAGGCGGGGGCGATGGTGGAGTGAAACGCATGAGGAGCGCAGTTACGATGCTTAGTCGGCAAACGAACCGTTGAGGATGGGACACACCGGCCCACTTGCCAGAGTCTGTGTAAAAGGGAGTTCTTTGCATCACAGTCAAAGCATCACACTGTCACAACCGTTATCGCCGCTGTTAACGACATCATCACCATCAACTTTGCCTCCCTTCCCTAAATAGCCATATGTCCTGGTACCATATGTTAGAGTTCAAAGCAGAATGCTGCTAAGCATTGCATAAAACCTTCTTCCTCCCACATATTTGACAGGCAGGTGTGCAATTGTGTTGCATACAAGCTTCCGACTCGCACTTTTTACCACCCGACAAGGCAGAAACATAGTGCTAAGCATTGCATGCAGCTGTCTTGTCAGGTTTACACTTCAACCCATCAACGCAGAATAACAATGCTACGTATTGCATACCGCGCTCTTGCTCTTACATACATCTACCCATCAAAGCAGAATAATAGTGCTAAGTATTGCATACAGCGGCCTTGCTCATAGAAATTCCCAACCGGCAAAGCAGAACAATAGTGCCAAGTTTTGCATACCGCTGTTCTGTCAGGTTTGTGCTTCCACCCATCCAGGCAGAATAGTAGTGCTAAGTATTGCGTGCAGCTGTGTTGCTCATATGTACATCTACCCATCAAGGCAGAATACTAGTGCTAGGTATCGCATACAGCTGTTTTGCTCATACATACGTCAACCCATCAAAGCAGAATAGTAGTCCTAAGTATTGCATACAGCGGCCTTGCTCATAGAAATTTCCAACCGGCAAAACAGAACAATAGTGGTCAGTTTTGCATACAGCTGTTTTGTCAGGCTTGTGCTTCCACCCATCCAGGCAGAATAGTAGTGCTAAGTATTGCGCGCAGCTGTGTTGCTCACATGTACATCTACCCATCAAGGCAGAATACTAGTGCTAGGTATTGCAGACAGCTTTCTTGCTCATACATACGTCAACCCATCAAAGCAGAATAATAGTGCTAAGTATTGCATACAGCGGCCTTGCTCATAGAAGTTTCCAACCGGCAAAGCAGAACAATAGTGGTCAGTTTTGCATACAGCTGTTTTGTCAGGTTTGTGCTTCCACCCATCCAGGCAGAATAGTAGTGCTAAGTATTGCGCGCAGCTGTGTTGCTCATATGTACATCTACCCATCAAGGCAGAATGCTAGTGCTAGGTATTGCAGACAGCTTTTTTGCTCATACATACGTCAACCCATCAAAGCCGAGTGATGGTGCTAAGTATTGCATACAGCCGCCTTGCTCAAAGATACTTCAAAACGGCAAAACAGAACAATAGTGGTCAGTTTTGCATACAGCTGTTTTGTCACGTTTGTGCTTCCACCCACCAAGGCAGAACAATACTGCTAAGTATTGCGTGCAGCTGTATTGCTCATCAATACATCTATCCAGCTAGCCAGAATTCTGGTGCTAAGCATTGCATACAGCTCTCTTGCTCATACAGATGTCAACCAATCAAAGCAGAGTAATAGGGCTAAGTATTGCATGCAGCCGTCTTGTCAGCCTTTTACTTCAACCCATCCAGGCAAAATAATGGTGTTAAATATTGCACGCAGCTGCCTTGATCGTACATACTTCAGCCCATCAAAGCAGAAAAACTGTGATAGGTATTGAATACAGCCGTATGGCCAGCTTGACACTTCAACCCATCAAGGCAGAGCTGAGTATTGCATACAGAGTTCTTGCTCATACATACATATACCCGTCCCCACCCGACGACCTGACCAAGACGCCGGACCCAACCACCCAACCAACCCATCAAGCCAGAATAGTAGTGCTACGTATTGCATACAGCCGTCTTGCTTGTTACATACTTCTACCCATCAAGGCAGAATACTAGTGTTAAGTATTGCATACAGTTGCCTTGGCAGCCTTATAGTTCAGCCCATCAAGGCAGATTAACAGTGCTAAGTATTGCGTACAGCTGTTTTGCTCATACATACATCTACCCATCAAGGCAGAATACCAGTGCTTAGCATTGCATACAGCTCTTTTGCTCATACATACATCTACCCATGAATCAAAGCAGAATAGTAGTCCTAAGTATTGCACACAGCGCCCTTGCTCACACACAAAAACCCATCAAGCCAGAATAACAGTGCTAAGTATTGCACCCAGCCCTGTTACTTTTACATACGTCAACGCACGACAGAACAATATATGTGCTACACATTGCATACAGTTCTCGTGCTCATACATACTTTCGCGTGCTGTAGTAAAAGCCTGAAACCCAACCTGGCTTTTGATCTTCATATAACAACTGAGTATATACAGACTCAAACAGTTTGAAGTAATGTCAACCCGAACAGTTTAATGCCGATTACCAGTGCCCCCGAGCAACGACTTTGACCCTCACAGGAACGACATTGAAACTTCGCTGATACCCCGATAGTTTTGAGATTACCTGAATACGGCTCTGAGTTAGTGTCAAGCCATACAGCGTAATGCTGTTGTTAGGATTTACAATAATCGAAGCGCCGACTCCATCATATCTCATTGAAACATGCTTCGAAATTGCAACCCCCACATCACGCGTATTCGGAAGGCGAGCCCTACCATCAGCCTTTGGAGTACCACCTTCAATAGTCACCCAATCGTGTCCTTAGTCGCAAACGTAACATTGGCCCCAACAATCATGTTATCAACCCTCATGTAGTATAAGCAGACCTAACATGCGCTTTTCTAGTGCCAAAGTTAATCCGTGCCATTGCCATCTCATCTCTTCGTCGCGACATTCCGCAAATCCGCATCATCTTCAATGCTGGCGGCTGTATCAAACCTAGATCTGCTGTTCTGTCTAGCACCAGCTCGAGGCAGCACTGGGACGGCGATTGCGCATTTGTCTTCACCTCAGCTTGGAAACTGCAGGTGCTTTCAGACCTTCGCGTTTTCGTTGATCGTCCAACAAAATTTTACGCGAGTGCCATTGTCACATAGATTTTGCAAGGTGTAAGTATTCCACCGTTTGTGTCGGCGAGATATGGTCTTTCATTAATTAAGACTCAAGAGGGGCAGTGTAGCATCAGTGTCACTTGTCAGAAGCACTCGCGCAACTTGCCCTCCGTTTTGCATGCATGCCTCTTGGTTGGTGTTCGCAGTCTTTTGGCCATCCACCAAAGAGAACCAAGTGGTTTCCAGAAGTTCGTCGATTGTGTTCACCCGTTTTCAAGCTGCGTAGTGTTCGCTATGTCGCTCAGGAAGGAGATGCTTTCGGCGAACCACCCGCCAGATTTGGTCGTAGCCTCAAGTCAAGCCCACATCGAAGCGCGCGCAGCACGCACTATCTGTACAGCTGGGCTAACAATTGAGGTGAGTGTCGTGTTTCGTTTGCGTTGTCTACGTACCGAATGCCGGCAGCGCCAGTGCAGGTCTGCTTTAATGCGGTGTTGGCCGGATTTGCCAGGACCCCAGACGTTCCTGGCAGCAGCGGGACGTCACGTCAAGTTGCATTTGTTCGTGACAACAGCGTCGAGTCTACGGTGCGCTTGTACCGAGTATTGATAAGCAGTTCGCATTTGCAAAAGTTCAATTAACCATAAACTGAAGCCCATGCAAGCTGTGAATTTTATCATCCGGCATTGCACCCTAGCCTTAGCCGTAGCCTTTCACAGAATCCTACAGCGCGGCACATTCAGAGATCCGGGGCAGCAGGACTGGAGACGTTGCCGAAACCCAGAAGTGGCTGCAAAGGCTCGCCTTGGCGGCAGGTTGATGCAAAGTCAAACGAGTTGACGGGTAATTGCCATTGCCACTCGTTTCGACGTGTCACAGTCACCTAGGAAATGAGTGAGTGGGAGCACACAGTTCATGCTTTGACATAGTTGTGGGTGGCTTGAGTCAATGGACCAGGCTGCGGGAACACATGCTGCAGCCGAATGAGGCGGGATGCGGGTGAGTGTGGTTTTGTTTGGGCCTGTGTGGAGTCTTAAACCTGACAAGTTGTATGACAGTGTAAACGTTCCAAACCTTCAAGTTTTATTTTTGTTTTTCAAGGTGGTTGGGAGCCGCTGTCGTGTTCGTTGGTGCAACTCCCGCAGTTTGGATTTTTGACTCGTCACTTGTCACTCTCGCCACGTGTGGGGTTCAGAATTGCAGAGCACTTCTACACAAGACAAACTTGCCACGCTTATTATCATTCCGAACCACTACTTAGCTTTATGCCGCAAGCTTCATGAGGACTTTTGTCGCCACCGTAAGTTTCGAAGTTTCAATCTCCAAAGGTCCAAGCCTGCAACACAAACTCCAAAGCAGAACCACGCATACGGTTTCTGTCAAAATCGCGTTTTATGCCTGCAGTCACCTGATCACTGGTGAAATTCTGGCCGAAGTTTACGCGTCCTGATGAAGTTCCTTAAAGCTTGAAGGTACGATGTGGTAAGTTGGCTGCATTCCCAGCTCGGATTAACTCGTCATAAGCAGCCAGCCTCTCCAAGCAAACATATATGCACATATAATCACATATATATATATATACACATAATTATATACATATAAACACTTGATGCACCCTCCATCAGAGCTTGAATATGTTTAAATATCCACCAGATTTTTGGCATTCCGCCAAAACCACAGCAAGCATGCCCAAAATCCTGCGCTGAAGTATGTCATCCGCTCGTGTAATATGTTACCCATTTTTGCCCCGAAGTAGATGCTCTCCCGTCGGGTCGTAGTGTTATAGCTTACAGCTGTCCTCTGTTGCCCATGTTACCTTCAACCATCAACCCTGAACTCAAAGCCGCGGGAGCTACCACCTTCTTCAGCGAAGCAGGCCTCGTTCACGTCGCTGATTTCCGCATATGCAAAGCGGGGCTCGGCTGCCAAGGCTCCCGGGGGGCATGTTAAGGATTGAGAAGTTTGGGCCATGGGGAATATTTTAAGGTAATCCTTTAGGCGAACCCACAACACACCGGGGTAGGACATTTTTATACAGGAGGACCTTGAAGAGGCTCCGAACCATGCTTGGAACTTCGGAATGCAATTGTTTTTTCCTTGC